CAGTCGTGTTTTTCTGCATATATCTGCGAATGTGGTAATTTTCTACCGCTTCTTCTCTCTGTCGATGTATCTCTCTTTTTCTCTTTCTCTCTTTTTTATCTCTTTCTTTCTAAATCTATTTTTCATAATTTTTCTTCTTTATCTCTCAATGTGTTTTCAAGTCATGTCTCTCTGTATCTTTAGTATCTTTTCTTTCTTCTCTCTCTCTCTCTTTTTTTCTATTTTTCTCTTTTCGTTTCTCTCTCTCTCTCTCTCTCTCTCTCTCTCTCTCTCTCTCTCTCTCTCTCTCTCTCTCTCTCTCTATCTCTCCATAATGCATAATGATGATGTCATGTGAATAAATTGTAGTAGTGTGGAAGATTGATACCAGAGTGGATTAATAATTTAGCGCTAGATTAATTTGACGGTGATTTATATAATATTTTTGGTTGTTTTTTTATTTGTTTTTCTATACTTTATTGTTGTCCTGTTGTTAATAATTTTTATAGCGCTTCGTGAATGACATCGCGAATAACAACACACCCACTGATAACCAAATAGCATGCGGCGCCATCGTCATCATTCTCTTCATCATCGTCATCGTCATTATTATTGCCCAAAGGGGATAAAAGTAGTAAACAGAAACGGGGAAATTAAACAAAAAATAAACTAAAGATAAAACAAAAAAATGGACAAAGAAATAAAAAAACGAACCAAAAAACATAAAAACATTTCAGCAGACGAAATGAATTCCGATCACGTGCCTTGATAATCCTGCAACGCATCCATCCTTAATGTAACCAAAGACAGAAAATAGTCTTCATGGGTCCCTTAGTTACTCCCTTAATTATACTAAACCTACCTGTTTATATCTTTTATTCTGTGTAGCGCTAGATAATTTAGTTTTTTCAGCGCTATATACTTTTTCAAACACCATTATCAAAAATGATCATAGATATGAGAAGTGAATTCCATTATCTATGCAAATTATTCTTGAAAATCAGTCTGAAAACAGAAAATAATTGTTTGTACAACTGTGTGTGTGACGTGTGTGTGTGTGTGTGTACAAAGATGAAACTAGAAATGATTGATGAAATGCATATAAGGAATACGTAATGCTCGTATTGTATACATGGTTGGTTGGTTGGCTGGCTGGTTGGTTGGTTGGTTGGCTGGTTGGTTGGTTAAATAACAACTGATATAAATATTTGTTTTTATTTTTTAGATACGAGTATCTGGTTTTTTTTGTCTGTAAGAAAATGGCTTTAATAAACAACAATTTTGGTAATTTATTTTTTTGTTGTTTAACTCTGAAAAAACAATGGTAAAAATAGGTTGTGTTCAAAAAACATGGAAAATGAAACCAACGAACAAATTAATTAAGTTTGGTGACGGTGGTTTATTTAGCTAGTCAGTTATTTTCGATAGAAGTATTAAGATCTATTTTTGAGAAGATTAGCATAAAAGTTAATAATAGAGATACTGTACCAGATGAAAATAATAATTTAATGATAACTCCGCCCACTAACCCATCAATCAAATTTTGAATATCGAATCAGAAAGAGGAAAATTTAAAAGCTAGATTGGACTTTTAAATTTAATTTTGAATACTTTTCGCTAACGATATTTTTCCAAAAACCAATACTTCCTTAACTTATTATTCCACTAAAATCTTTCTTTAAAATCTTAACTAACGACATGCAGCTAACAACGCGACGCCACCAGCTTCATCATAGCGTTTTCATCATCTATCAGACGTCTGAACCTATTAGCAAGCCTTGTAAAATTCCGAAATGAGGTATCAGCCATCAAATTAACACACGGTTGGAAAAAACTAGGAAGGTAACGCTTCCTAAGACAGACTTCTAACTCAATCAACAAATCCATCAACCTCAAACCGAGATATTTTTCCGACCATAGATTGTTATCAGGCATTCTATGGCAAACTCTCAAGAAGATATTTTTCAATTGGTATGAATTCAACAGAGCCATCTGGGCATCTTGATTTCTGATCCCTTTCAGTACTTTCAATAATTTCACGTGATTTTCATCCTTCAGAATTCTAGATAGTCGTTTTTTCTCATGAACACTGAACGATCTTCGCCATGTTAGATTTTTTTTGGCGAAATCCTTGCAGACATGCACGCCTCCGCGGACGACTTTAGGCACGAAGTATTCGTCGTTGTTAAGCTTCAATGAGGGAACAATGTCGATGGTAAATAAAATCTTTTTCTCCTTTCTAAGCTTTATATTGAAATGTTAATTTTCAGTTTAAAACGAATTTCTTTATTTGAAAAAAAAAATAAATTAATGGTTTATTTGAAAGAGTTACCATCATTTTAACGTCTATCTGCAGTGCCGGTCCATGCTCACTGACAGTAATGGTTGCATTATTTTGCGGTTTTGAAATGTTTTCAATAAAACTCCTGAATAAATGCAAAAATTTGTACGTCACCATCATTGGACAGAGGTAGCCCTGAAAGAACAAGGGTTTGCAATCAGGGCTTATTAAGTCCTGATCTGCAGATGACTTCATGAAAACGAAATTTGGCAGCAGTGAAGCTTCTATCTGTTGATGAAATAAAAATAAAATTGAGAAATAATAATGGGCGAACATTTTTTTCAGATTGTTGCTGCGCGCCAAAGTGTTGCAACGAACACTAAGAGAACCACATTCGCCTTATAATATTATAAAACCAATTTAGGGCAAATTCTGAAAATGTTTTTTTAGAATAAAAATAAGAAACTGAAAGTTGCTTCCTGACAGTTAGTGGTTCCTTGAAGTCCCAGACGAGCATGACATCAAATTCAATATTGGCCTGCCCACCACCCTCCCCCCTCACTCTCAATCCTTCGAACGCACTCCCGACGTATTCCGGTGTCACAAAAATCGAATGTGCAGCTAACAGTTGTTTGATTTCGTCGATTATAAAGTAGGTGAACTTTACCGCCTCCTCCAACTTTTCCGGGGTCTGTGCCTTGTTCTGCGCGTAGCATTCAATTGCGTCACTGAATCTTTTTGATTTATGCCAGGGTTTGTAGGCTATTGTGGAAGAAGTAGTAAATTTATGCAGTTCAATTATTTAGGTTGGTTGATGAAATTTTTATTGTAAAATAAATAATTTGATTTAAACTGTTGGGCCTTAAAGCATCAATTTGGCGTAAAAGTGCCTAGATAGCATAAAAGGTATGGGCCTAGTATGGCGCAAACCAACCGCTTTTAGGAAAGCCACACCTTGAATGTTAAGTTGGCTAGCAAGAAGCCCACATACAGGTATCCATGTGGCCCACGCTAAAAGCCACATGCGGCTTTCATGTTATCAGATGAGGCCCGCCTGTAACTGCATGATTCCCACGCATACGCCACGCGTTACTCGTGTAAGGGTAAACGTGTGAGGGCCTCTTACAAATAAATACGCGTGGGAAGAAGCGTGTGGGTTTTTAGTGGTTGCCACACCCAAAATTTATTTAGTTATTTGGACTAAAACCTTTTTCTAATTTTTGTTCAATATTGATCATCGTACAAATTTAACCTATTATTAAGAAATTAGTTTTCAAGTCCAGGTTCAAAACAAGTTCAGATGAAATCATCTGAATCGCTCGACAAAGCGTGGTGGGGTATTTTCAATGTTTTGGTAAAGTGAACGTATTCTGCAATTAACCGCATGTGCAACGATTTGCCTCATGTTGTGTGCCGCGGGACATTTGAAACCCATTCAATTTATGCTACCTTGGTAGTGTTCGTCTTTCGAGTTGCAGTGACCGGGTTTGAATACAAAGAGAGAACTGCTGGCCACATACGAGGAAAACTAATTTTAAACGTTTCTATGCAGTAAGCGCAATATAAATGACGCAAATCCCAATGTAAGTAAGGTGTGATTAAGTTTATTACATGGAGGTTCGTTATTCATCCTGTTATCATTTTTCTTTTTCTTTTTTTGATCATCATCAACCTCCGAATCATCTGAATCTTAAAAAAATAAAAATTTATTTCTCAAACTTCTTTAAATGAGGCATATAAAAGCAATTACCTCATTCAATTTATGTATCACAATGAAATTGTTGTAAAGTTGTAACTGACGTAACGTTCTACCTTGATATATGTGTTGTGTTGAATTCTTATAAATAGCACTATATAATATAAATAGAAACTGATTAATTGAGCCGATACCGATTGGTCGGTATGCGTTTATTTCGTTTCGTTATTACTTCGTTTCATTATTATTTCGTCATTTAAATACAAAAAGGAACATTACCACTGCTATAATTAGAAGCCATGGGATTTACGTGTTGTATGAAGTAGTTTCACTTTCTAAAGTTATTAAATTAAATTCATTTAATTCAACAATTTAATTGATTTTATCGTTAACATTTATTGTAAATAAAAGAATAAAAAATTTATTTATCTGTATGTAACTATTTAACATTTAACTGTTGACTTGGCAAGATGACTTAGCCAAAAAGATCAATATCCCCTCAAACAGTCTTATGAAATTCAGAAGAGTGTTTACAAATGCTAATGCTATGGAAAGCCGAAAGACTTATTTACACAGTAAAGCAATTCATTTCACAAACTTAAGATACTACTAAAAACTGCTGCTACGCGTCTATCTAAATTTATTCTATACCTGATGAAAATTGATATTTGAAAAATGAGCATATAGGATCAAAACAATCACGACTTTTTATTTGCACTTAACAGCTGATTTAAAACTTCTGTCACTTTTTCAATGCCAAATTCATCAAGGCATTCAATTTCTTCAACAACTATCCCATCTGAACTTGGCGTTTCATATGATTTCATTTTGGAAAGGGCGGCAAAAACTTCAGATCTAAGTATTTACATGTCTTGAGATTTACATGTTATTAAAGTTTCTAAGTATCCTAAGTATCTTTGGTCCTTCTACGTCTATGTTTCTCATAAGTTTCGTAGTCTAGGTTTTATCTTTGATTCTACTATGTCTCTCTCTTCTCAGATTAATAGTGTTGCTAGAAGCTCTTACTTTCATCTACGTAGAATAAAAAAACTTTTGACTTTTCTTGACGATCCTACTCTTCTCCTTCTTGTTACTTCGTTAGTTTTATCTAGGAATGATTATTGTAAC